GCATTGCCCTACCTATATAGTATAGGCGAAGTTTAGTTTCATTGGTGTGTATATTTGTTTGGTTATAGAGAAAACTCTCCTTGTTTTTTAAAGAAACTGAACAAGGGTAAAAAAAACACAAAAAAACAACGTTACCTTAGATTTTCTCTAAACAGTATTTTTCGGGGTAGCCCCCTTGTGCTTAAAAGTGACCAATTTACTCCAAAGACTCCGTGTCCATGCGATTGGCCTCCACGTTCACAGCCCAGAGGATGAAATGACAGATGGCCAGGAACATGATCACAAGAGTCGCGAAGGCGTACATGTAGCTCATTACTGTGTCCATGACTGGGTTTAGGCTGGGGGGGAAGGGAGTTGGTTGGTGGAACCGGAGTGGTTTCTCGATTCTTTGGTTTTAGTAAGAGTTTTAAGGCACTTGTATTACAATACGGTCATACAAGAGCCAAAGATTAGAGGGGTAATGCTAAAAAAAAAAGCAAAAGAAGAAGTAGGGGAGACCAAGACGATGGATGTCTGATGGGAAAGAAGAAGCAAGTCTCACCAGAGCCCCCGCCAAACACATGCTATTGTTCTAAAACAAAAACAAACTCACTGAGAGGCTTGTCAAATAGCAAGCGAAACAAGACTGTCACCCCTACCGTATCATTAAGTCTACTGCTTTAATCGACTCCAAAGAACAGGAAAGGGAATTGTGAAAATGGCTTTATAGATTACAATTATATAATTAAATATTTTAATTTGTTTTTCTTTAAAGACATAAAGCGATGTAAAAGAAACATTATCATTTTAGGTGAGCATGTATTTACATTACGATTTCTTCGACTTTTTTCAAGTTTAAACATTCCCTTTGTTTTCCGTTACTTGCGAGTTGTCAGATATTAAACTGTTTCTGTAATGATTCTCGTTTCGTCCTTTCTCACATCCCTTTAAGGCTTCCCTTATCTTTAAAGAAATCCTACGGGCAAGTCTGAGAGTATTACAAAAATGTAATGGTAGAGTTTCATGAACTTCACCGAAACAACAAATAGTAGCGAAACAGAAGTTCACAATAGCCAACGACTGTAATGAAAAAGAAACAGCTATGTTATTATTCTTTCGGTCTCTCTTTGGTGTGCAAACTGTCCTGGATAAACCACAGCAAGATATAAGCAATGCAACACTTTTAGATTTAGTTAACATTTAGAAATATGTGGAGAGAAAAAGGCCATAGGATGATGGATGAAAAGTTTTGGTAGAAACCAAAAACCTTTACAACGTTCTTTTTCTTATTTATTTATTTTTAAATTTATTTTAATATTTGCTTCTTTTCCCAAAGCATTGAAGACAGTACAAATATAGACTGAAAAAAACAGCCAATTAAATACGCTTATAGAGTAGAATTGGAATTAAACTTTCACATCCCCTTTTGATATTATGCACATTGCATATTGGTGTAGCACGGTTGCTTATTACAGAAACAGCCTTATCGTGAATGGCCTTGCCATTCGGCTGTTGCCTCACGTATTACAACTCTTTGTTCCTTGGTACTTTCAAGGCATATCGGGTTTGATATGAGTGATTACTTCACATATATCGGTTTGAATGATTGTCTCCATTTTCCAAATTACCCATGCTGTGGTTCACTTGTATCTTCCTTGTTTGAATTTGGGTCCGTTATAAGAAGCAGCTTTATAAATAGCACTATTTGGCAACGAGAAAAGGTTGGTTGTCCCTCTGTGAGAAAAGACTCGTTAAACCGTGACACATCAGTAGCCACTGTCACATCACTGAACATCCCCAAGGACCTATCTGAATATTCATGAGGCTACTGCATAGTACCGACATCGATAACCATTGCCCATTTCACTGTAGAACAATAGTAACGTAACGTCACTGACCCCTCTTTAAAGCCAGGCACCCAGAGGTCAGCTAGCACTGAACGCTGCTCTCAAGGAGCACACACCCTGACTGACCATCAGGCTGTGGTTATAATACTTATGTATGTCAGATTTAACCCACTGACTACCTTAAACCATCTGTAGTTTAGTTTAAGTCCATGTCATAAGAACTATTTAATCTTCCATGAAAGGTACGTCGAGAAACGGGTGTCTTGACTGAGAAGACAATATCCACTCTATGTTCATGACCAACAAGTTAGTGGACACTTATATTCTCCTAAGATTAATTCGGAAAGGTACAGGAATAAACTAATGTCTTGATTGAAAAGACAACGGTCACTCTTCGCCCTTGACCAATGAATAATCTAACACTTCTTTTCTCCATATCCAAAGGTTTCGCGGGAGAACCCACACATTTGCCTGTAAATGTTTGGACAAAAATCAAGTCTCCATAAACTCAGGCACTAGCAGTGGCCAGCTGCTATCAGTTGTCCGCGTGCCAGATGAGCCTGGAGACGTCTTGTACCGCCCCCGGCCACCGGAAGTCGCCATGTTGGTCCACGTAGTCAAAGTCCCCGGCCGCCTCCAGGGGCAACAGGGCCAGACGCACCAGAGCCAGCAGGGCGAACAACGCACACAGCAGGCAGAAGATGAACACCATCGCTGATTCCAAAAGGAGCAGCATCTTGGGCACCTATCTTTCGCGGTCCGTTTTATAAAGCTCAATTATTTTTTTAACAGAATAAGGAAAATTATAATATATTCTTTGGTTTGCGTATTAAGCTCTTCTTGATACTAGAAAAGAGATGAAAGAATTTTTTTGGTTTTTATTGGCTTTGTTTAAGTTTTACCTCAGTAAGTGGAATGTGTTAGATTATACTTTTTTGCTTTGGTTTGTTTCGCTTTTGTTTGAGTTGCAAGTTCCTTTCGGTTAAATTATCAACCAATGTCTTTCCAATTTACTCAACATCTTGTTCAGTGAAATACTGATTATTACGAAGTCCTTTTTTTGCACATACATTTTGAATGTAGTATATGTATTCAGTATCATATTTCAAATTCTTTTTGAGTCTCGTGAAATTTGAAAATTTGAGTTTGAAGGACACAATCTTCAAACAAACCTTGCTGACCGGAATAGGTCTTTGCTCCTTTATGGCTCGTCAACTATCAGGTCACCCCAATCCCTGGTTCCACAAACACTGTGAGTTGTTGAACGACGCGGGCTGGTCCTTTCACTTTTGATCATTTTGAGAATTCTGCTGCAGCATGTTGTGCTGATTCATAAAATAAGTTTCATTTCCTGCTTAATTTAAGTCCAACACAAGCAGAGTTCACTCAGGGTGTCTTCTTATAATATTCTTTGCGCTGTCACAAATAATCACAGCACCTTTTCACCCATGAGTATTTTGTATATATTTTTGCACACTTGTCTTCGACTTATTATAAAGAATATTTCTGTTATTACACTTTGCCTTTCTATTTTGTCACTTTCCGTATATTTTATGCCTTGTATCTTTCTGTGTTCACACTGCGTGTATATCCTCACGCCTCGTGCCCAACGATTGTCCTATTTCGCAAGGCCACATCCACAAAGGTCTTCGCTTCGACATGTCTACACACACGGCTTCATGGAGCAAGATATCATAATGCCGGTGAGGTAGGCCAAGAACACTACGTAGAACGCTATGATGACGTAGCACGGGCACAAGATGAGGACACTGATGTCGTCAGGCTGGCTCGGGTCCGGGTCACGATCTGGTATAGCCTGCGAGTCCCCGTCGCCCCGGTCCATAGGGAGCTCACGCACAGCTTGATACAGTGACCTTTCACCTTTATCTTCAAGGACCACCTGGTATTATAACCTTTCACCTTGGTCTTCACGGACAGCCCAGAGCAGTGACATTCACCCTGGTCTTCACAGACATCTTAATATAGTGTCCTTCACCTTGGTCTTCCTCCTTCAGCGGTGATGGTATCTCTCATGTGTGCTGTGTACTCTAAAACCCGCACGGTGTTCTGGTAGTAGACAAACTTCCGCGTTTCTTGCAATCTTGCTACCAATTGTCACAGTCACTGGACTGTCTTCTCTTGACGAGTCAGGTTCCTTCACTACAGTACGGCTGGTAATCTCTCTCAAAACACCAGCGTCGGAGTTTTCATTGACTTTCAAGAAAACTCCATTGCAATCATGGATTTTCCCATCGAGTTCAAGGCTCTCACATCGTTCGGTGATTCAGGCTCGGGGCATTGACTGATCGTCGAGCAATGTTAAAGACTAAACAGAGCTGTTGTTGTTGTTTTTTCAACACGTTACTATGTACATAATATGACGTTTCCCAACGCTTCTTACTTTCAGAAGCTCCCACAACATTGAGGGTATCAATGTCTGACAACTTGTCCGAGCCACATTCTCTGAGATCAGTGCTAGGATCGACAAGCTATGGAGACAACCCTTGGAACTTGAGTTCAACAAGAGAAATAGATCTTTCAATTGTTAAGTAGTTTGTTCGAGTAGCAGCTCAAAGCGCCACTGTGCACGTCAATAAGCGTGCATGAAAGTGTCGTACGATATGACTCTCCAGAACCATTCAAGAGAGTTCGTCACTCATTTAGACAGAAACGAACGTTGAGGTACCGATTTTCCTTTCTAAAAAACGTCTCAAAGTATTAGGGAAATAATCTTCTCCACAAACTTGTTTTTCTGTCACTTCGCTTGAGACGTTTTCTCTTGTTTCATAGTGGTCAGTATATCGATCTACTCAGTGACTAGAATCGTTTCCGGCACCTGTTGTAGCGGAGTCTCTTGGCCGGTGTCATGAAGCAATAGTAGACCCTCAGACAGATGTACAGGACGAACAGCAGGATCAAAACGCCCACGATAAAGTCACTGAAGTAGAAGTAGATCACCATGGCCTCAGCAGTAGCTGCAGGTACCTATCACAGCCAGTGGAAGATCGAGGTTAATCTATCTATCTATCTATCTATCTATCTATCTATCTATCTATCTATCTATCTATCTGTCTGTCTGTCTATCTATCTATCTATCTGTCTATCTTTCTATTTTTTCTCTATGTTGTTCTCTCTTTATATATCTCTCTCTTTCTAGCTATTTCTCTTTCTCTTTCTTTCTCTCTGTCTCCCTCACCACTTCGTTTTCTCTCTGAATCGTTTAAGAAACCATGCTTCTCAGCTGCCACACCAATGCCGAGAATCTGAAAAGACAGCCTACGTGTTATGTCTCACATAAATGTTCTTACTATTTGGCTGCTTAGATAGCAATTTTTTTATCGACACAACCGTCGCCGCCGAGGTCTTGCAGGTTGCCCTGGATTGGTGACTTTGGCACTCAAAACTCTTGGGTCATTTTCTCCAGCCCGCGTCGATTTCTTCCAGTACATGAGCCCAATAAAACTCGTCACCAAGAAAAGAAACCAGATCTGACTTTCCCACTGAGATGCGTATTTCAACACTGTGACCAGGAAGTAGTATATTGGGATGATGACGTTGGCGATCACGACATTAGCCAAATACAGGAACCACTGGGCGCCTTCCGCAACATTGTCCTTCCAAAGAAGCAATCCTTCGACCAGTGACTGGAACATCTGTCGTAACCACTGAGGCGTGGACTCCGCTAGGAGCATGGCGTTGGTTTTCATCTCCATCCCCAAATGTCGCTCGCCTCTTCATTCCTTAGAGGCTTCCAGGTACCGCGCGGCGCGCATGTCTGTGGTACTACTACAGTGGAAGTCGCCTGATTGATTAACCAAACTTGGTGTCTCTTCCTGAAATCCCGCCGATGTAGTTGTGGAACACGTAGAAGGAGACGATCAAAAGAAAAGTAAACACACAGTCCTCCAAGCTGATGGTGCTCCCGTTTTCTTTTGTGGCTGGGTCCATCTACTTTTGCCAGAAATCTAGATAGCCTGCACTACTGAGATACATGTTTTGTTTCAGTTAGAGAGGAATCTATTTTACAGGTCTTGCGTGATTTAAATAATGGAATTTCCTTTAAAATAATATACTAGTCCAAATGCAACCGGTCAGAAATAAGTAATATCGCTTTGAAGCTGCAGAAATTATACCAAACCGTTATTTTTCTTTTGTGATATTAACTAGACCTTGTCTTGTGAGTGTCTTCGGATGTCAGAACTTCTGCCACTGGCGAGTTCGTGAGGGAAAAAAATAGCTAGTAAAAGTCGCCAGTGGCCATTGCGAACCTTTTATCGCTGTTATACCAACAAAAGAACAGGGTATCAAACTCAGAACGGAGAATTTCTGCAAAGACCATATTATACTTGCAGTATTTCACGATGTCTTCAGAAACCGAATTCAAGCCACTACTCACGAGTGAAAAAGTAGTCAGAACGAGACTTAACATCTGACCAGCTCTACGGCTAGATACATGTTACGGGTACACGAGTGACGATACCCCGCTGGCTCAAAACTGGGAAATTATGTTTCGAAAATTCTATTCTCAGTGTTATATTGGTTTGGTATATTCCTGTGATAATTAACAATATAATTGAAGAGCACTAATGTAGTTTAGAGGTTTTGTGTTTCTTAAGTTTTGCAGAGATTATAAAAGCCAATAATATATCTTAATTAACCTTCTAGATGTGTGAAACTGAAGGAGAAATTAATGGTAGTTCTCTAAGGTTTGTAGCTCAATGAGATAGGGGACAACCTGACACAATAACAAAAACGTCCAGTGGTTTCGTTATAGAGGAATGTCTGTCGACTTCAAGAGCAGCGGCTACAACATCTGACCCTCTTTTTCAAGCTCTTGCAGTTGTCCGAGTCCTTGAGGAAGAAGTAGTAGATGAAGACAAAGACGAGGACGTAGACGAGCAGGTCCGTGGGCAGGACGTCATCCGAGACAGCCCCGTACGGCATTGAGGCCTCAAGACTCAGCACGGGGGTAGGGGGTGCGCTGGTGACGGAGACGTGCTCGCTCAGGCCTTGTTGTCTTGTCGTGCACACTGTGTCAGGTCGCCTCCTCTCACAGTTGGAATGTCACTCAGTGCTTCATTATCCTTTATTGCTAGGTCTGTCACGAATAAGGTACAAGTGGAAGAATTTGTGTCTTTTTCCGAAAATCGGTTTTCTCTGCAACAGTGATGTATCTAATCAATGTCTTGTCTCAATACGTTATATCACTGTACCTGAGACCTCTTTCCTGGGAAAATTATGTCCCTGGTCCAAAATTCCTTCTCATTTGAAAATAGATTTGCCTATATGTATGGTTTGTGTAAGGAAAAAGAAGTTAGTACTTTTGAAACACAAGTTTGTTTGAGTTTCCAAAACTGAAGCACAGGGTACTGTGTCAGGTTAAGTGGCTTCCTCTGCTGTCGTGTTATACAACACAATAGACCACAGAGCACGGGAAGGTGACACAAACGATGAAAAGGTAGAGCAGGATGTAAAAACTGAGCAGGCACTTGAAGAAGTCGCTGACAACGGCCAGTGGCTCGGCAGACTTAAAGTGTTCCCGGTAGAATGGCGCGTATACTGAGGTGAAGCTCAACACTTGTCGGTTGAACCAGTCCATTCCGGGGTCGTTAATACGACAAGCATATCGAGAAACGGGTGGTAGCGAATATCAGCATGCGAGTGGATCAAAGTGAGAACTGGACTACGAAAGAAATTATTCAAGAAAGATTTTCCTTCTTCACCTCTCATTCGACAGTAAAGCAGTAATTTATAGCAGTAATTATACAACTGCTTGACTATATGTTTTATTTAGTGTGTCTCTTTTGTCTCCTCCTTTCACTCACCGTGAAATTTTTGGAATGGAGACCTATGGTTGACGGTAGAATTTGGCGACAAAGACGGCAGAGGAGTTTGTTCAAAAGACAAGAAAGTTCGTGGTACCTAGTCAAGATCAGAGATATACACTCCAAACTTGCTGTAGACTCCACTGGTCTTCCCACAAGCCTTTGATGATCGTCACACAATAGCCCAGAAACAATGGTAGTACAAACAGGTGTCCTGTAGCTATCTCCGTGGGTACTTTTATCCTCGGGCCTTGGTTACTAGTCACTGTACAGGCTAGCTACTCACGGTCGGTTGTCTGTGTTGCAGGGCAAAAAATATGTAGATGAACCCAACTGGGATGAGTCGACTAGCTCAGATCACCAACAGCAACGGTTCCGGACTCTTCTGAGGTTCTTGTACTTGGGAGACGCTGACGAGGAGGACGATGTTTTCCCCCTCTGTGACCAGTTCTCGTTTGGCCTTGTGACGCAATCCACGCACCAGATGCCGCCTAGGTAGAAGACGAGCCAGATCAGCAGGATGAGCCAGACGTCGATGATGATCAACATTCGAGACGTTTGCTCTGGGACTGGAGGAATAGACAGAACATCATTGGCAGAGATAGTCCACTACAACAGCAGTGACAATAATCCCATCCAAATTCCAACCCCAACCCCCAACCCCAAACCCCCAACCTCCAAACTCAACCCCCTAAAAAGTAAAATGGACGACGATGCTTACCCGCAGTAAAAAAAAAGGAGGTGAACCATTTTTGGAGAGGGCAAGCAAGTACGTGCGTCTACGCTGCAGTGAAGGGTTCAACATTCATTCACTGAAATATCGTTTGACGATAAACTTCTTTGCTCTTTTCCCCCCTTGGCCTGATTGTGCATTTACCAAACTAATGTCTTGTCAGAGACTGTCTTGGGCTCTTTGGTTTGACAAAAAGTAAGCCCAGGAGTAAAAGCACTTTCCTGTGATGTTACTCACGGAGTTTTCATAGTCTGATTTTCTTCTTCTTTTTTTTTTACTTGAAGCACCAGATGTGGAGGACTTGCTCACCTCCCCCACAATTTCACGTCCCATATACTTTAAACCTAATCTTTCCTTCCCTTCTTCAGTCTTTGAGCCCAAATTCCTCCCTCTAACTATTTCATATCTATCTTTCTCCTGCCCACCCCAACCCCTTCCCCAGTCTCATCTTCGGCCTATCTTTCCACCGAGATCTCTTTGTCTGACCCTGGTCCACCGAGTCTCTTCTGTCTATACCATCTCAGTCTGGCCCATATTCATACCCATATTCCACTGAAAACAAGATATGTTCGACTTGATCCTCGGATAATCTAAAATAAAAACTGGCTAAGGCACATTAATCTAGGCTGAAATACAAAAATAATGTGTGAAATACTCATATTCATATTATATTATGTTTGACAAGATAATTTTTAATCGTAAGACAAAGTAATTGAAATTCATGTTTAAGGGGATTTTGTACTTTTGACTTGTTGTTTCTCTCTCTCTCTCTCTCTCTCTCTCTCTCTCTCTCTCTCTCTCTCTCTCTCTCTCTCTCTCTCTCTCTCTCACACATGCACTGAATGTATTTTAGGGAGGCAATAAATATAATCTATTATCGGCGACTACGCCCTTTGACCAAGCAAAAATTCCTATGTATTATCTGCCTGGCAGGAACAGAGCAGCCCGCCTCTTACATTAACTAAATTTTGTCGAGGGTTGTGTAAGAAAGTAAATTCAAAAACGTTTACAAACCTGCCTTTCAGATTTGCCAAAAGCTTTTCTTCCAAAACGCCTGCTGTTGCTAAGCGCATCATCAGATATCGAACAATCAAACCATATAACGTTTGAAAAGAGCTCAAATTTACGCCAACATAGATTTCTAATAATTGAATATATGTGGGTGGCTCTACAGTGACTGGAGAGCTTCCATTGCAAATAGCCACCTCCTAAGAATTACATGGGTGTTCTGCCCTGGT